GTTTAGATGAGGTCATGAGGGTGGGGCCTTTAGGATGGGACTAGGGTCCTCATAAGAAGAGAAGAGAGAGGGGCACCTGGGTGGCTCGGTTAAGCGTCTGCCTTCAGCTCAGATCATGATTCCAGGGTCCTGGGATCAAGCCCCACGTTGGGCTCCCTGCTCAGTGGGGAGCCTGCTTCTTCCTCTCCCCCCACCCCGTTCATGCTCTCTCTCACTATCTTTCTCTCTCTCAAATAAATAAATAAAATCTTTTTTAAAAAAGTAAAAAAAGAAGAGAAGAGAGAGTTCTGGTCTCTCTCTCTGCCATGTGTGGACACAGCAAGAAAGCAGCCATCTACCAGCCAGAAAGAGAGCCTTCCCTAAGAACTAAATCGGCCAGCACCTTGATCTTGGACTTCCCAGCCTCTGGAACTGTGAGAAATAAATTTCCGTTGTGTGAGCCCGCAGTGTGTGGCGTTCTGTTAGGGCGGCCCGAGCTGACTCAGACGGGGACCCAGGGCCTCTCTCTTCTCCAATGGAGATTAATGAACCACTCCTAACCGTTCGACTCCTTCCCTTTCTCCATCTTCAAAACAGAACAAAATGAAGAAAAAAGAATGCCATTAATTATTTACTGCTTCCAGTAATTCCGTGTTTCAAGGCAATTAGTTGTCTGAGTTCCCTTCAGGTAGAGCAGGGATGGTTCTCGTGAGTCCCTGCTAGGGGATGGTGGGGGGGAACTCTTGCCCAGCCCTTGTGCTTGACAGCCCTGAGAGCAGCCTGGAATGGGATTCTGGAAAGGGTGGGGTTAGGAGGGAGGCACGGGTGTGGGACACACTCAGGCCCTGAAACCCCATCGTTTAAAGGCCATGTCCACCCTGACTCTCCTCTGGCCACTCAGTCATTTTCCTTCTAGGCTGAGTTGGGTCCAGTGCTTTTCCCCTCTTCCTGGTGCTCACTCTTTTCTGCAAAATAACCATAGGGGTGGGCTTCTTGGCTGAGGGTGGCACCCAGTGCAACTTGGGAAGTGGGGATCAGGGGGTGAGGGAGTAGGGAGGAGGTGTGGGTAAGGAGCAGACACAGTGCCTCTCCCTGTCCCTGTCCGGTGTCACTGGGGCCTGCCTGGTCCCCGGGGGGAGAGGATGTGCCTGACCCTGCGATTGAATACTTTGTTCTCATTGCTGTTACATTTGAGATGGAAAATAGAAAAAAATATATACAATAATCATATTAAGAAGTTGACTCTGCCCTGCCTGCCCTTCGGTTGGTGTGTGTGAGATGGGGCAGAGGATGGGTTTGATGCCGAGGGGTAGTGGGGTGAGGCGGGTCTTGGGCTTCTGTGATGTCGAACAGCTCCATCTGACCTTCCTGGGCTCTGTCTCTACCCTTTGTTGGTGCATGGTGGGATGCGCCTCCCACCCAGAGCTCCCTGGCCAAGTTCTGCAGCAATGCTCTCTCCTTGACTCTACGTGCAGAATGAGAGGCTAAGAAAGTGGTCCCACTTGGGGTCCAATGAAGGTTTTCTTAAAAGGAAGGTAACGTTTTAAACACCCGTCATCGACCGGAAGGGGGATGGGAAAAGTGTGAAGCAGAGCGATGCAGGTCTTTCCCTCTGTTTTGAAGTGAATCATGTTACTCTCTGCTGCTGTGCCCCGCCCCCCCCCCACCGTTTACAGAGTGAAATGTATGGGGGAGAGAGCCTTTTGAAAATAAAGTGCCTGCTACCAAGTGCTGGCTCTGGGGGTGGAGGGAGGTGGGATACACATGAGGGATAAGCCCCAGATCCTGTCCTGAGTTCTCCAGGAGAGCTGAACACACAGAATCAAATTACAAGAGGCAGGACTGCAAGGACGAGGCAGAGCGGAGCCTGGGAAAGCCGCGCAGCCCCCTCCTGATGGGGCACCCACTATAACTGCACGGTCTGCAACCTCTCATTACTCTGCTGGTGGCAAGAATGAGGTCATGGTGTCTGCAAGTGACTTTCCCAGTAACAAGCCCCTCTCAAAGGGCCAGGCTCCCTCCTCAGCCTCCTCCTGGGCAGGTAAAACTCGGGCAAGAAGCAAAATCAGATGGTTCTCTTCCTGGGGGTGTGCGTCCAGGCTGAGGCCAGACAGGATCCTCTTCTCCATCCCAGATGGCTGGAGATAGAGATTGCTAGACGAGCTGCAGGTAGGGTACCGTGCTCTCTGCTCTCTACCGTGCAGACATGCCTGGAGACTTCCAACCCCGGAGGAAACCTCCCTGACCTCCGCCCCCAGTTGGTGCCCTGCCCTGGCCTTTGGGGATTCAACTCCCAGAAGAAGGTACACAGGGCTACACATGGTTGTGCAACCATGTGTCTCTTCTCACAGAGCAAATGCCATCCAGAGCCCCAGAAGCTCCCCCGGAAGACTGGGCACCAAGAGGGTGGAATCCACCAAGGTTTTAGACCGTTGCGCTGATGTGGGCTCCCACCCTCGGAGAACTGAGATACAGCCTTCCTGCTGTCTCCTGGCTGGCTGAGGAGGAGTTTCCAGCAAATCCAGCTCTCAGGCCCCCTCTGTGAGCGAGGAGTGTAACAGCACCCTGCTCACCAACCTGCTCACGGGCTTCGCTCCATGGTCTGCGAAGGGCCTGAGCTCCAGGTGGGGGAGGTAAGAGCATGCAGGTGGCCTGTGAGGACACAGCTGGGCATCCCCAATAAGCCGGCAGTGGCGTGGCCACCAAGGGAAGGGAAGGCTGGCCATCCTTAGGCCGCCTGTCCTGGAAGCCCTCCCATCTACAGATCAGCTAGCCAGAAGGGCTTCGGCCTGGGATGCAGCACGAGTCGCCAGGAGAAAAAGTAGTGAAATGTTTGAATCAGGCACTTGGAAGGGCTGTAAGGAAGGCAGGCTAGCTTCTCAGCCATTTTCAGAAAATGCCCACAGTTCTTTTCCCAAGGCAGGTGAAATGAGAATATAAAAGTAATGAAATGTTTGGGGGGGGACTGTGTCCACACCTCAGCAATCAATAAGGGGCTGCCCTCTGGGGTGGTGCGGGCCCTAAGAAAGGAGAGGCATCCGGTGAGGCACGAGGAGAGGCGAGAGCACTAGGGAGAGAGGAGAAAAGTGGCCTGGGAAAACCTGGAGGGTCTCAAGGGCTCTTAGCTCCCCAGCAGAAACCCAACAACGCAGGCAGGACAAGGTTGTCCATGTGGCTCGGCAGGCTCCAGGCCAAGGAGCACCATCTTTTCTTCGGGGCACATGAAAATGTTGTAATTTCTTTTAAAATCAGAATACAATGAACTTTTAGGTTGAAAAAAATGTTTTAATATGTAATATTAATGTTTGTCTTTATGCCAACACAGTCTTAAAATATTATTTTTACATATATATAGAATTATTTTTTTTTAATGGAGAAAGGAGTCCACGGAGGCAAAGCTGTCTAGTGCCCAGGAAACTTTAACTGGGTCCTGCAAACACTAACGGGCTTCTTCCACGGTGGGTGCTGGTCCTGCTCACTCCTCCGGGCCACAAGGGAGGAAACCTCCCACCCCTCTTCTCTGGAGCTCCCTCACCAATTTTCCGTTCTTCTACCCTTAGCAAACAGAGCTCAAAAGAAAAAAAAGAAGAAGAAGAAGAAGGAACAAAGAATGCATACGCCTTGGCACCAACTTCACTTTCTCAGCCATCTGTGAGTCCCAGGCGTTCTTTTGTCTTGCTCTCGGCCCTGAGCGCTTCCAGACTCTTGAAAGCCTGACCTGGGAGGGGAAACGGGAATCAACCAGTTGACCGACCCCCTCTCCCCAACACACCCTCCACCCGTGCCACAGGAAGGGTGGTGGGGGTCCGGGCTGTGGGAGAGACTGGGAATCGGA